TATACTCAGACCATAAAAGGAAAGTCCAGTCTAGAAAATGTTACCCAAATCAAAAGTTCCTGAGTTGCAAATTGTCCTAACTAGCTTTTCATTTGAGCTAAAAACATTTTTGTGGCTAATAATCACGTTCCAAAAATGTACATTTTCAAATTGAAAATTGCCATCTTTGTTATGATACAACTATGACATAGCAATAGCCAAGCATACCGACTTAAATCTCTGCTGAGATGGAAGTAGGCAGGGAAAACAGTGGAGAGGAGAGCACTGCTGATTGAATTCTGGACTTGGATTTTAGTCCAGAGGGAGTAAGACATCCATTTATATTTCAAATGCAATATGGCTTGTCTTCAGGAGAAGGAAAAAACCTTTGGTCAATAAAGAAAGTCAGGAAATGAGTTTCAAGGAGAAACATAGACCTGCTCATTCTCTCACAACTGGAAAATGTGAGTGGCATACTTGTGGTAACTGTCAAGAGAAGCCTACAGAAAACAAGATAGTATGCTGCCAAGAATTAAATGTACTAGGTCACCATCTCAATTTTAAAAGTAACAGTTTTTTCCCCCACAAAAAATCCTAGCTCTAGAGTGATAGTTATTTTACTAAAAAAAAGACAAAAGTGCTAGTCTTTTGGCATCCGCTGTAACAGCTGGAATCAGCTGAGTAGAAATCAAATTCCACGATAAAAAACTTATCTCTGTTAATAATTCAGGACCCCTAGCTGCGACTGTTTTGCTCTCTTGAGGAAATTTTGCTATGGCCTTGGTTAGGCAAGAAATTGGTAAAATTTCCGCACAGCCCCATACTATTGTTAAACAAATCTGTTTTCCCAATGGCAATGTATTGTTTATGTCGTTTTCTCTATCCAAGAACTGAATGCGTAATGTAGTATGAGGCTGTGCGGAAATTTTACCGAGAAATTATGTGGTAAATCACTCATTTACCACGAGATTTTACTGGAAATTTTCTACGTTATTTTTTTCTGACGACTACAATATATTTCTGGCGACCTTTATACGCTTCTCGTTCACCAAATGGCGATTTTAGAATAAAGTTGAGCTTTTATGATTTAAATTTATTACGTGCTGTGAAAATAACTACTTGCTGTACACATACAGACATTGATGGTCGTCGAATACAATTAACAATGTGAAAAAGAATCTCACCTCAGTGAAGCTTTCTCGCGAGTCTAACAGTATCGTCAGACACCACAGATTACGGGGCTCACGGTTTTCATCGCTCCGAAGAACGGAGCGATGAAAAGTAATCATAAGATAACATAATGGAGACTAATGCAAGAACCCAAATAAAATCAAACTAGTTTGGCCAATTTTACTTTGGACTCACTGAATTGACTGGAATTTAAATTCAATGAGGAAAAACTTCTCACTGTCTACGGAGTCCACAATTCAAGGCGCCCAGCTGCAACTATTTTGTACGCTTGAGGAAATTCAGCATCGGTGTCGGATAGACAAGGAAATCTGCGGTAGCCGCGTCGAAAACTGCCATTTTGTGGCGAGTTTGCACTGACGACTTTTCGTGATTTTTGGTCACCAAAACGAGAACTTGTGTCGAGCTTGCATGAATTGGATTTACCACTTGCTGTACACATACGACCTTACTTTCCCCAGAATACAATTAATTTTGTGAAAAGGAATCTTACCTTGAATCCAACGAAGCTCTCTCACGAATCAGGCAGAATTACTTAGATTGTTCCAAAGTAGTCTACGATTGAAACACATCTACACTAACATACAAGGCTCACGGCTTTTTCACTGCTCAGTTCAGCGGATAGCATACAAATAACTAACCCTGCATGTCATACACTTTATTTTTCCACTCACCAAAACGTGATTTTCGTGAGCCACGTGAGGACCTTGAAAGTCCTTATCTCACCGGAAACCAAAATTGAGAGAAGAAGAAGAATAAAAACTTTAAAACTTTTTTGTCGTGCACATTTTTTTTATACTGTTCATGTTATTTATGGTTAGCCTTTCATTATTGAAGCATCTGCTTATTTTTTTTCAATGAAAATAGCCACCTGTGTCGAGTCAACCACTGTATTAACGGCCAATTTTATACTGAAACGGACTTGAGCAATTTGTGACGCTTGAAAGAAAGAATAATTAGGAATCCAGTAAAGGCCAAAGGGAGAGAGACCCTCAACTCCGCAAACATTATACGCATCAACTTCATAGTTTATTAAAACTTCTAAATAGTAAACTTTGGATTCCTGATGTTCCCCTGCACGTAACGGTTCTTTGGTTGGACACATAGCGCAACTTGCGCACTCAAGAAAACTGATGGCAGCATGCATATTACCCTGCTTTCTTGCACATTAACAATGAAGTCACAAAAACGGTCGTAAATAGCGTTATCTTCAATAAATCACTATAGCGGGTAACTTTAAATAAGACGCTACTGCATTGTTTCCTTGGTCTTTCTTCCTTCTTCATATGTACTTACAGCGCATTTGGTTTCAAAACAAAGGACGAGCGGTGTTACATAACTAGAGGTCAACCTTACCATCACTCCCCAGCAAAAACTTTAAGGCACCATAAGACGGACTCGGTATGCGTTGTTTTAAGTAAGCTAGTGAGGGCCACGGGTTTGTCATTCTATGACCGTTGAGTTTTTACCCTCGTTAAAAAAAAGTGTTTTATTTGTCAATTTATAAGTCACTTATAACTTGACCGATGAGTAATTTCGGAAAGGGCTGACTTGCAAGATTCAGAAGCTTTGTATGAAGAGCACGCGAAGGATAAACATGTCTCCAGAAACTCACTTGAGCAATGCTTTCTTGGGAAATAGATAAAGAATCCAGGTAGGATCAAAGAGAAAGAACCCCCCCCCCCCGCATTTCCTTAACGCCACCTGCTACTATAAAGTAGAATAAGTAAAATATGGATGCCTGATGTTTCTTTGCACGTGCTGGTTCTTAAGTACGACACAGACGCAAGTTACTCACGCACGGATTGACACGGAAACCGATGGCAGCATGCCCACTGCCTCCTTATTGTTTCATAACAAGTGACGATTGGCGTTACATAACTGAATTTGAGGTCTAATATACTGCCTTTCCCTCCCCCCCTGCAAACACTTTAAAGTGCAAAAAAGCGAAATATGCTTTTTGTCTAAGTTGAAGTGAACATCAATCGGAGAGAATAGCAGTCTGTCTTTCAATGAACTGTCTTGCCCTGTCTTATGACCATTAGCAGACGAGCCAGTGGGAAGAAAAGGGTGAAAATAGCGTATTCAACAAGTTAAATTGAGACACTGATGATACTTACCTCTAAGTTGAAGTTTGATCAGTTATGATTCTATCAAGTAACAGGATGCCACGGGGTTCACATGAGATAGCTTGTGCATGCGCTGATCAGCAATCGAAAACTCTAGGCACGTGGCGTAGTCAGACAACAGACACGCGATCAAGTAGACAAAAATGTTACATGTGATGCTTAAAAATGATGGGGAGCAGTTTGTAAGGGGAGTGCTACCCAAGGCCTGTGAACCACTGAAAAAGGATTGCAGTGAAATTTGCATTCGAATGTTCTTTTGGATAATGTAAGGGATGTGTGTATTATTTTTACTCAAAGGGTACACAAATTCACCTGCCTGAAATGTTGTTTGTGCAATTTGGAATATTATGACATTGTCCGACTTACTGCCTCCCTCATACACTGTACCTGGTCTACTCAATAGGGATGCGGAAAGGAAAGGTTGTCAACAAAATACCTCTCAGAATGGCGACTGAAGCCAACAATTAAATTAAGGAGTACTCCAGAAATTGATTAGTTTGCAACTGCAGTCTGCCAGCAACTTATTACCAGCCTCTGCCGAGGAAGCCTGATTCAGAGGCTATTTGTATCGACGCATTCTTTGACCCCCTTACTTGTTCAATAGGTAGAATAAGGATATTAACTGAGACTTACTTCTCAGTTAAAATGTAATTGGAATTCTAACAAGATACGAGATAAAGATTACTGGGGGTTACATGACCAGCCTAGGTGAGAAATGGAGTTTGAGGCATGTAGTAAGTCTTCTGTATCACTGACATTTTGTTTGCAATGATTTTTGTTATCTCCTTGGAGTTCAGAATCATCACCATAGCTTACATATAAGTGACCGCGGTTGTGTTGTCACTGGTTTCTAAATATTGTTTGAAACTGCGCGAGACATCTTGGAATTCATTTAGCAAATTAGTGTACTGGTTTAACTGCCTCTTCCTCTGAAATCCCACGAAGTTCCTTGAAATTTTACTTAAAGGAATCGACTAGTATACATTACGCCAATCGACAGAAGTCATGTTACAATTGGGGTTCACCGTATTGACTACAGACGGTGTTCATTTCGAAATGTTTCTCCCAACGCCATTATCGGGGACTTTTGGGGTTATCATCAAGCGACAAGTCCCATCTTTCTCCTCCCTTACCAGTATACCAGAAGTAGATTCACCCTCTCGATGGGTGGCCTTATCCGTCTCTTTGTCCATTATGACTTTAATGTGCCTAGTTTCTTGGCGTTGAACCGGGAAAAATTGCATCAGCAGTTGTTTTAAATGGAGGGAAAGCCCTGCAATATCGCAAGTTAACCAGTTCTCAGTTCAATGACTGAGAGCAGATCCTCCGAGGTTGTTCCAGACATTTTGGGTTTCTACTAGTTTACATAGAAGCCTCGCCACATGTGGGGGTTGAGATATCTCGCTTGGACTTGTTTAGTTCAATTCCGTTTGGTTTTGCCTAGCGTAGAAGCTACTCTAATTCACCGGCCCTGCGAAATGGACGTCTGAGACCGGCCACCTCTCTCTCCATCAAAAGCTAGATGTCAGGTAAGCATCTCGAAGATGGCTAGATCACTATCAGTCAGTTTCCGCCGTTTTTCCGGAGGCTCTTATGTCTCCGCTTCGTCGTCGCAGCCCCTCACCTTGTTTTCAACGGGGTTTATAACAGGGACATGGGCGTCTTGAATCAATTTTCCCATATTAACGAACACCACACACAACACTGGGTGACAATAACCACTTTATATACAATTATTCAGGCTACATGTTTAAACTGTACAAGTTGTAGTATTTGACAGCCTGATAAAATTAAAACTGGATAATGAACCGGCACCGGCAACCAAAGCGCTCAAGTTAAAATTGCATCAGTTATCGTTAAAAGGCTTCCATCGAAGTGAAATACGATGAAACAAAACTGGTACGTTTGGATCACGAAGTAGTCACTTTCCATAAGAGTCGCTCATCTTAAATTTTAACAATTGAGCCGTGCTTAAGTCGACTATAACTGCTAGGTTGGTTAGTAACCTATAAAAGAGTGTTGAGGTCCATGAACAATATTAACTTTCCTTTGCACCAATTAAATATTTACAAGCCAACGTGAAACACCTCTTCATATGGATGGGGTCGGTCAACGTAACATGCTTTGATGCTGTACATATCAGATGTGGTCATTGAATATTATATTTTCACAAATGTTTCACAGTTTGGAAAACCTTTGACTGCGAGAGTTTTGACTAATTTTACATTTGAATGCAGATCAAGTACTCGATACTTGGTCCCATAAGAAAGAACTACCCCTTTTGCATCTAGAGTATCGGCGATTTTTTTTCTTTAAAGCCGAGTAGTGCCACTATTTCTTCGTACCGAATAAATAAACCAAACAAAACAAAACAAAAACAGAAAACAACACTAATAATCAGGAAAATCTATTCTGTTGGGAATCAATAACTGAACATTTAATCAACGACATCGGCAATATCACGTGATGACGAGTTAGTGCCCTGAATCTGGTGGCACACGTCCTTCAGTCGTTCAAGACAAACTTTCCGTCTCTCGATGTGGTCACAGAGGCGGTCTGGGTAATCTTGGCCGATAATGCAGTTACTAGCTTTCTGCACGGCCAAGGGTGCCATCCAAGGCTCGTGAATGTACTTTGTTGGCATGGTCTTGAGTTCAGGGACGTATCGCCTGTCAAGATAGTAAATACAAATTGATCAAATGTCAACTATTTTTGTTAGCTTGATACGGACATGTTCATCAGGCTAGCATGTTGAACAGAATTGCACGGACTACAGACTTGTTACGCTCATATGTTATGACAAAATTAATAAGATGGAAGATTCAACCAATTTTTCCTGAACTACTTTAGTGGCAGAATATAAGGTGTTTTCTCTGGGGCCTCAAGCGAATTCTCTACCTAGAATTACCTCAGTCACCAGTTTTTTGGTTTTAAGTATTTGAATAGGCTTTCATAATGAAATGTTTTCTCCAGTGAATGTTTTGAAGTTTGCACGAGAAGTGGAGAGTACATGTTACTTATTCATCTGTAACAACATTGAAGAGCAAAAGAGTACAGATCAAGCAATCATCAGGCTAACTTTCCTTTACATACTCGATTGCAAAAACGTCGAAACCTGAAAAGCATGATTCAAGAACGATGACACACAGTGGCTACATGGGAAATGTTTTCACAATAACACAGTCTGTGCTTTTCTTTTATCATTATTCGTGAAAATCTTTGTTTACGGTAATTCTTGTCTTGGAAAGTTTAGAAGGCTGGTATCCTTTATCACGTGCAACTTTGATGATCATGTTATTACGTACATGTGTACCCATAAAGCCGTTAGGTCTCATCATATCTTGCCAACGCTTTTTAAGGTCAAAGATTTTGGCAATCGAATGAAATGCAAAATGAAGTACGAGTGAAGTTACCTTATAAAATTTCCTGAGGGATCAAGTTTCTTTCCAACATTGACAGGGCAATACCACGGAATTTGTCCATGAAAGAATGCACTACATGACACCCAAAGCCAGTTACCAGCATTCAAGCTCCATTCCGAATCCAACTGAAGCTGTTCAAACAACTTCAAAAGAAAACAAACATTTTGTATGGATGGCATAAAAATAGGAAAATATGAGCCATTCATGAGCGTATTATTGTAATAAGTTATCAAACAAGAGAACAACTTCAAAGAATAACAAATTAAGGTATTTACTAGCTGCCACTGGACAACAGAAGATATTGTACAAAATAAACACTTCTCAACATATATCTCAGTATCCTTATAAGTGTAAAAGCAATATCTACATGTATATCAATTCAGTGATAAAATAGTTTTAAGAAAGCCAAAATACTATTCAACATTAACATTCACTTTAAACATACAACTTAACAACAATTTTGTTGAGGGCTACAAAAGATCAATAACATAAAGTTCACAGCTATACCTTAAATCCTTCTTCCCAACTAATCCAAAGACATCCTCTCGTCAGGAAACATCCAACAGCTTGTCGAGCTACATGGTGGATCCACCCTTCCGCATGTAATTGTCGCATGATAGCGTCAATCCATGGGAAACCTGTCTGGCCCTAGCATAAAGAAGCAAGCTTAATTCTTAGTCAAATAGTGCCAAGATCAAAAGCAAATATGCAATTATAGTTTTAATTCCATCAAAGACTAATGCATCTGATCAAATCAGCCAAACGAGCCACACTTTCTTTGACTGGAAATGTGGGGCATCACTGACCAACACACACATTTAAAGGTGATGAACTTTCAGCAAAATCTCTCATAAAAATCCTGCAACTAGAACAACTAAGTATCACCACTAAGTATCCTACCCTTTGATTTAACTTAACCCTTTTATGCCATGATCTTATTATCAGATCTCTGTACCATTCCCATATATTGCTTGGGATTCTTGTTCTAAGGATTTGATGTTAAATCAATCAATATCTCCTTGTTGATATTTTTCTTACTTCTTGTTACCTTTCTACATATTGTATAGATATTGAAGGGAGAAATTTCCTGTCTTGTAATCAAAAGGTTAAGTTCCCTCAATAACCCTTTAACTCCTAGGAGTGACCAAGACATAATTTCTCTCAATATCAATACAATGTCAAGCAGACAAGTGATGAGAATATGGAAAAATATCGGTAGGGGGATTGTAAGTTGATCCAATACCAAGTTCTCTAAACTAACATCACAAGAACTGTATAGGAGACAGTAAGGAGAATCACCAATGAGATCTTGGGAGTTTAAGGGTTAACATTAATTCATCATCATTACTAAAAGAACAGTTGCTATATTAAACATTTCTAGAAAAGATGCAAGCAGTGTTTCAAAATGAAGAGCACCTAACCACAAGTAAAGTAAAAACAATAATCAGATTCTGGATTTATTGTACCTTTTTCCATGCATCAAAGGCATCTTGGTTTTCCTCCCAAGGAATATTAAAAGAAAGTGGATTGTCCACTGCCCTGTCCATTTGAGGATTTCGACTGGCGAGTGTAAAGAAAAACTCCCTCCAAACTAACTGCCTGTAGAGTGACAATGGTGGTGGCTGGCATTTCACCTAAGACATACATGATGTTTTCAGCCTTAAAAGAGCTACCAACAAGTACTATTGACCTGACTGCTTTAATCTCATGCATTACAATGGCAAAAAAGCAAAAATAGAGTCAGTTTGTTCATTAGGAAAGAAACTGAGAGCATCAGCAAACAACATCGGCATAGTATCACAAATGTACATTTTAGCAATTTAAGTTTCTCAATAGCATGAACACATTGAGGTATTACCAGTGGCTAGTGTGCTGAATTTTCAATAATTTAGTGAATAAAATATTTCAAGACAGATTTGTTGCAATGACTTGAAATTTTCACATATGATATGATTCCACAAATAATCTGTGTGAAATGATACTTTCACTAGGGGACATGAATTGAAGGGGTTTCTCCGAAAAGCCATTTTGAAGAGATACTTCTCTAAATCTAAGCCAATTCAACGTCATTCAAAATGGTTTAGGATATACACAAAGATTGTTGTAAAAAAGATTTTCAGCCAGGTCCACCAAAAAAATACTTTATTTTGACAATAGACATGCAAGAAGTGTCATCTAAAGGAAAAACTGCGTGAGCTGCAAACACCATTAAACCAGGATATTATCTTTACTTTGCCATGAGATTCAACCTTAGAAAAGAAAGTTCTATTGCAGGTATTTCCAAAAAGGCACATTCTCTAGTATTCAAATTTTGCAGATAGGCAACTTGGACAACAATTTTTTGATATGTGCGAAAACAAAAGCATTCCTAAGAGATTGAGTTAGCCTACAGTCCCACTTTAAAAAGTACCCTATCCTAAAAAATTTGGACACCTCCATAACTCGAAAACTTAAAATTGTCCATCCCAGTGGCAATAAGATAAACATGCAACAGGTTCAACTTTGGCAATTTCACCTTACCTTCATGTAGGCTTTGGTAAGCCTCAAATGAAAGAGCCGTGGAGAAAGACAACCAAAGCGTAGGTAAGGACTCAGCTGTGTCCTGGATGGCCTTAGTGCATCTAGCCCTTCCACAGATTTCTTTAAATTGCCCTCCAGAACCTGACACAAACATGTTCAGTGAAGTTAAGATGACTAATCAATATACTTGTTCTACTGTTTAAGCAGATGAAGCAAGATAATTATATGTGTTCCAAGAGTCTTCAACAATGAGCTCTAGTGTTAATGACGCTAAGATATGTGCATGTTCCAAGAGTCTGCTTGCACATGCTTCAGGCTCTATAAGTGCCTGATTAGGCTGCATGTGACTGTGTTGTAGCACTTACAGATTGGTGATGACTACAAAAGGAAGAAGAACACTTTCATTTCAAAAAGTAGAAACTACAAGGATCACTTCAAATGTAGTACTTCTATTTCATACACATCTGGAATACCCCAAATAAGACTCATGCAACAGATTGGTTGTTATAAATTCCTACAGAAATGCTGCAATACTAAGAAGGGACAAACACAAATCATATTAGAGTAAACACTATGAGAAATAATAGGTAATTCACTATTTACCTTCTCTTCAAGTTCAGTTAACCTTTTCATGGCCTCCTGTTCTCCTCCAACCCACAAATCCCCTGTGGTGACTTCGCACCCACTGTAGCCAAGTTCGTCTAAGCTTGGGATACCAAATTTTGTGCTGTGATCATTTGAGACTGGGCAAACGCAACCTTTGAACATTTCCTTGTTCACTGCATCGACAGGTTTCTCCGGAGGGCCCATTTGCCGGATAACATTTTCAAATGTTTTTATTAACATGGGTGCCTCACCCTCATTACTTTTAATTATTCTTTCAGGATCATACAGGGTATGTGAAGGCTTAGAAATAACTTCCACTCCATGTTCTTCACCAAGGACAGCCACAGCTACATCTCGCCGTTGTCCAAATGGCTCAATTTCACACTCAAATGTCAGTTTTGAAATATTCCAGTCTTGGAAAAGTTTAGGTAACACATATGTTGGCTGCCCACGAATGACATGAAGTCTTGATCCACACTCTCGCAAACTCTTGTCTAGATCACGTAGACAGTCCACGAGAAATTTCCAACGGTTGGCAGAAACTTTTGCAGCTCTCGCACTCACAGGATCCAGAATATACACAGCATGAAATGTTCTACAATTTGCTAGAGCTTCACATAGTGAGGGGTTGTCGTGGAGCCTCAAATCCTTTCTGAACCAGTGCATAGCATTATGGCCAAGTCCAACATTACATGAGACTACAAAAAAGAGAAGAAAAGTAAATCAGACATATCTGGATCGCTTCAGATAATTTCATGTGATATTGATTGATTTATTCTCATCCACAGCTTCAAAGATAACTCACCCTTTGTCACAAGATTTTGATACACTCCTCTCAGCCTATCAACACAACTTTTCCTTGCTTGTTGATGGTTGACTATGGGTTGTGGATAATCAGTACCAATAACACAATTACACGCCACCTGCAATTCAAGTGGTGCATCCCACGGTTCATAGATATACTCTGCTGGGAAATCCTTTAACTCTGGGATGTATTTCCTTTAAAAACAATAACCTCAACATCAATTACTGGATTACATTTAAAAGAAGGGTATCAACCTTGTTCCCCTCAAGTAACCCCTTATCTGCCTTACTGCATGACCTGCTGCTAATATGTCTTGCCCCCCCTGGATGAAAAAATTAGCATGCTTAGCATGCAAGATTGTTTTCAGGAGGGGGGGTGGAAAGGCAAAGAGAGGCTGAGACTTGTGTTCCAAGTAAGTTTTTGGCCCTTTCCTTTGGGTGTGGTTTTCAATTACCTACTAACTCACATTCATTTGTCAATCTTTTTTTCAAACTGTTCAGGAGTCAGTACCTCACATAGTTGCCCTGTGGATCCAAATGTTTTCCTAAACCAACTGGGCATGTCCACTGAGGATGTTTGGCAAAGAATGCACTGCATGACAACCACATCCAGCTACCAGCATTTATACTCCACTCAGCATCAAGCATATACTTCTCAAATATCTGGGGGGAAAAAAGGGAATTCAACACAATGAATGTGACATATGCCATGTTGTACATTGAATAGCTCCTAAGACAAAATATTCAGTTTGTGCCTCTTAAATATGTTCAGTCTAGAGTTCAACCAAAGAGTGGGAACCAACCAGGGGAAGGTCATTTCGTTCCTACAAAAGCTCATTGTTAGAGTCAACAGTGTAATTTTCATTAACACATACTTTAAATCCTTCTTCCCAGCATATCCAGAGAGCTCCTCTGGTTAAAAAACATCCCACAGCTTGACGGGCTAAGTAAGGAATCCATCCCTCCAATAGCATTTGACGCATCATTGCATCTATCCATGGAAATCCAGTCTTGCCCTGGAGAATAAAAATGATTAAAGATCTTGTTATCAAATTATTGAATGAGATCTTTTGATACGTTATCAATAAAAAAAATAATAACCATCAATATAAAAGCAACTTTTTCAAAAAAATTGTATCTCTGCACATTTTCACACCATCAATCTTTCACATAGTCCTGTTTTCCCCACATGAAAATGGAACGCAGAGAGTCCCACAACATCTGATTGATGACCCTTGTAAAACACATGCTTGCTAGTGATTTTTCATGATGTAATTCACCTGTTGGAACTTTTCCAGTTTGCAAGCTTGCTCCTCCCATGGAAACTGTAAACAAAGAGAATTGTTCTTCATTTTGTCAAAATTGGGATGCTTACTGGCCACAACAAAATAAAACTCTCGCCACAATAATGGTAGATGAACTGACATTGGGGCTGGTTTTCCATTAGCCTGCAACGTAATTAAAGACCATTAGAAAAGAATCCTTCAAAACTTGCAAATACACAACACATCATCCTGATAATCATCTACCCCATTCACACCAAAGCTTAACCATGTTTTAAAACTGTTCTGTCAAATGCAATTGAGTTGTTTTCTACATAGAAGCTGCACAAACCTATCTTTGTTGACTTCAAATGTAGCACATTGAAAATAATAGTTTGTGATTATTAACAACTAATGAAAAATTCACTTTTTCAGCTCTTTGGGTCTGATTTTTATTATACCTAGTTTCACTTAACATGTTTTGCTGGTGTGAATGGGGTATAAGATAGACCTTCATAGGTCTCTACCAATGATAGAGTGACTCTCATATTGCATCTGTTGATACATGTTCAGCATAAGAGAAAACTAAAATATGGCCACAATTCAAAAGCAACAACATGCCAAGAGCAAGTGATTTGTAGTTATAAGCACTAGATGGGTGTAATTGCTGCAGAGCTCACTGATTGTCTATAAACATCACAAAACATTTATCAATGATATTCGAAGATCACCACAACTTTTGCAAAACAATGTTACCAAAAATCAATTACAAACCTCTCTGTAGACTTGGTTCATTCTGTGAAAAAGTTGTCTCACTGACAGACAACCAAATCTCAAGTATGGACTCAACTTTGAGGACTTGGGAAATGGAGAATTGGACTCTTGCTGTGGTTTGCCCAATTTTGGTTCTGCTACCTGTTCACAATGCAAACAAACAAAATTGTAGTAGTCACATGCACATGACAAAAAATGGATGTGAAAGTCATGACGGCTTCTTTGCAAGGGATTGAAAAGAGGAATGAAACTTAGTCACCCCACAGGTAAAAGAACAGGTTGCTAACCTAAGATTTAAATTGGCAGCATTTCTACTAGAGTTTTAAATGGAATTTAAGGAAAATTTTCCGAAGTAGAAGTTAATCTCTGGATTCCTAAGGCCTGCCAAGTGTCAGAATTTAGTATTAACTTTAAAGGCCAGTGTGAGGAAATGCACAGTTTCTACAACAAATGTCTCCTTCAAGAAAACATTCAGCCAAAATAAATCTTTACCAACCTCTTTTTCAAGAACAGCAAGTCTTCTCAAAGCTTCTGTCTCTCCTCCTGCAAACTGTCCAGGTTCAGCTTCTTCCTCAACAAAATCAAGGGCATCATATTCTGGTACACCATAGTTGTTTTCGTCATTATCCTCCACTGGTGTCTTACAGTTTTTTAACAACTGCTCATCGACAACTGGTACACAGTTGCTTGGACTTTTCAACTTACTTACTAGGCATTCAAACTGCTTGAAAGTAACTGGTACATTCCCATGATTTGACTTGATGACTCTATAATGAAGAATAGAAATGTGATACATTTCATGCAGGGGAGAGCAGAAGTGGCTTACAGTTAAGCTCTATAAAGACATGAACACTCATCAATCTCTCTGCCCTATAATGCAACCCTTCTCCTAACAACTGGTATTCAAATTTCACACAACTTAACACTAAGCACATTTCCTATTCATTGCACAAGAGTCACAGCCTGTCCCTGTTTTGTACAGGCCCATATGACTATGTTAAATTCTACCACATGCAAACATCCTGCTGATTGCTGCTCCTAGACATGCAAGACTTGATTTACACTTCAATTTGTGGCCTTCTAAACAATTTAGTATTCAGCTATCATACATAACGTGAAATGTGAGAACCATTTCATACTAGCTAGTCTCTTACTTCTTAAGCAGGGAGGATGTTTAGTGGGAGAAGCGGGGGCAGAAGGGGAGGGGGTCAATCCCATAGTTAATTTCTGTTGATATAACTTGAGCTCCCCTTGAGGACCAGAACAGGTTGTCATCAGCATCCTCCTGTGAAAGAGAACTGTTGCGCATACAAATACCATCCCACCTGTGGGGCACTAACTCTCTCCCCTACCTGTACCTTTAATCAGCCCCTGACCCCACCACCTGTGCCTCTGATTAGTCCTTTACCCCACCAGAAGTACCTCTGATCAGCCCTTCGACTAGGTGCTTCTTTGCAAAAAGAAACTTGTTCAGTAGCATCCCAAGGATTAATAAACTACGTAATGTTCCTTGTAATTTCTAACTAAGTATATAATTTGGCTTTGTGGCATTTCTCTTCGTCCTGATTGTTTGAGTGATAATTGCATAACTAAAGCTAAGGTCCACAAACCTAGACTCTTATGTAACAAGGCTCAAACGACTCAAGCGCGTGTGACACATGACTGGTCATAGTACCTTGTCTTCCACCCAGAAGAAAAGAAATATAACGCTACCGAAGAGCCTCAAGGTTAAGATCGCATTAAAATGAAATAAACAAATTAAATGAACACTTACTCGTCAATGTCGTACAGCGTATGAGAGACTGACGTCAACACTTCAACTCCTTCTGATTCCAATAAGCGCTTTATCGAATCGTCCCTTCTCCGTGGGAATGGTTCACTGTCATATTCATACGTTACTCTAGTAATATTCCACTGTCTAATTAGCTTCGGAAAGACATCGATCGGCTGACCTCGAACGATAAAGAGACGCGAGTTCAGTCTTCTCAGACTTTTATCGAGGTCGTGTAAGCATTCTAAAAGGAATCGCCACTTGTTTTTCGATAGGTTGATCTCATCCAAGGAGTCCACATCGAGGAAAAATACTGCTCTGAAAGTGGAACTACCCTCTATTGCCTGCCGCAGGGACGGATTATCGTGCAACCTGAGTCCCTTTCTAAACCAATGAAGAGAGTTTATATTCGAAGTCATTGCTTACGATTTTCGACGAGCAATGAAGATGAAACTGCGATGCTTTCGTTTTGGAAATACTTCTGTGACGACAGCACCTACATGACATCGACTGCTACCACACAAACTAGACAATGTAAGGAGAAAAACGGAAAATTCAGATCACCATCGAGACTATTACACCTCCCCTAAACAACGTGCAGACAAACGTGACACTATTGAATGCTGATCAAACGTCTGTTGTGATTGGCCTATGGCTATGTTCAATAGAATGCTAGCCACCATTGGCTAGCATCTTTCTTGCGTAATGAAGTCTAGTACTGCCGACACGAGTCATCACACGTGAAATTATGTCGGACATGGGTTCCGGAAAGTGGTGCGACCAAACAACGTGTAACGAACCCAAGAAATGGAAAAAATCGAGTTAAGATTAGAATTTTCTCCTTCATTTCATTAGAATTTTCTCTTTCATTTCAAACTAAAAGTAAAGTGAAATTTTTAACTATTTCTGATTAGATTGGACCATATTAAGGATGCAATGAATGAATGCCCGGCGGTCGGGCTCCGTCACGAGTAAATGGCCTTAACGCCGGAAGTCAGAATTTTCAAAGAATATTACCAAAGATTCTATGAAACTTCCTTAGACTACCACATGGTTCATTAAATGCCAAGTGATTCCAAAAATTTTTTTTAGGTTTTCTAGTTAACTATATATCCGCACCTAGACATTCCGTAAGTCGCCGTGCTTTCTCAACACCATTCGCTCTGATGAAGGGCTAACGCTCGAAACGTCGGCTATAAAACTCTTTACGGTGGACAATTTACGCTATTAACTCAGTTGATAATACTTAATTACCCTGTGATACTCTCCCACCGACGCAGCGCCACAGTTTCCTTAGAAATTTACCCCCTTTAATCGCTTGAGCATACCGTAGTAGCAAACACCAAACTGAACCTAGAAGTATGAATAATGAAACAAAATAGGAGAGGTGAATGAAATAAATTAATAGTGGCGAATAACTGATGTTCGATCAACGAGGACCGATTGTGCCGTATGAACATAATTTCGTCAATAACTAAACAACCGAGAGAGTGCCTCCACGCGTACACCGAGACAAGTTGTGAAGTTCGCCTTCTGAGCGGCATGTGCATCGACTGATAGGAGCGCTTACCATTTAAAAAAGCACTTGGCAAGAAAAGGGGCACTCGACTTATAACGTGCAGTTTTAAGAATGACTCTGGGATCAGAAACGATCCTCAGAGTTACCCCAAATGATTTTTCCAATTAAATCTAGAATAGCATTTGTTAGGGAATTGATATGTATCATTCTTGGTCTTAATGCAACTGATAATCGGCCATAATCATTTCGCTATTTGCACTGCTCGCTCAGATTTGTCAGCACAGTGGTTGCAACGCAAAGTTCTCTTCGGTGCCAAAATATCTTGTACTTTGACGCCAATAGATTTCAACTTTCAAAGTTACTGGGAGAAGGAACATTCGACCCGTTTCAAAACAGTGACAGCCAAGCCTCCCAACAAGTATAACGTAATTGTTGTAGCCACCTTCGATTGGTGATCATTTTTGTAGTCAGTGGCTTTTAAAATGCCAATATTAATCACGTTATTAAGTTCGCAGGTACGTAAGTAAGCAATTATAAGTAAGTTAGTAAAAAAGAAGCAATCTAAGACCGAACACTCCTCAGACCTATACTCAAGTTCTCTCGATCGATTTTCAAGTTTAACGCGCAAATCGTAATATAAATGAAATCTTTTCACAAGTTATAATTGGCACCGTTGCTTTAAATACCATTTTTCGAGATGAAAGAAAAATAGACTTCAAACACAAATCTGACTTTACGAATCGCCACGATTGTCTGAGCTTAGCTGTCTTCGAGTTTAGCGAGGGCATACCTACTCGAAGTTTGGGCTTACATTGTTGTAAACCTTTGGAAGAATTTTTTGGTTGGGTTTCCTAATATCTGACTAATGGTCTCAGTTAGAAAAACAAACCTAACATCTTGCACGTATTAAACGAGTGAACACGATGTCCCCCTTTTCCACCGGATGTTTAATTTATTTAACTAAACACAAACAAAATACAGCTTACAATTAACTTTTTTTCTGCAGTCTAGTTAACCGTACCTTTCGCTTATAATGCCGTAATTTAAGTAACAATATTTTTACGTTTACTCATTCTATAGAGAGTGAGGATCTTACACTCAGCTGACGGAAGAAGACGCTTGATGTCAACTGTTAAAAAAGTTATCGCAACTATCACGGCTGTGATTGGTAAAGTGTCCACAGACTTACCTACTGGCTGTCGCTTGTTTGTTTTCTTGTGTGAATTTACTGGTGGAAAAAATTGTGATGACCGCAGAGAACCACTATCTCATGAAGTGAGTGTAACATCGTTACTCTTACATTGAAGTCAAGTTGAAAGGTTTGTTTAAAGAAGCAGAGTTAAGGGGGGGACATAAATTTTTGCTTGTGCCACCTACACAAACTACTTAGTTAGATATTAAGCCAATTGCCATCGTGCAACAAGGCCATTCACTAAGCAAAGCCAATTGATTTCTTGAGAATTCAGTGTTCACTCTTTGCCAACGCCCATGTTTTCCATTTTAGCCTCTAAACATCCCTCACTCTGGCTGCCGGCTTTATTTTTCGTTTTTTTCTTCTGTTTCTTCGCCTCTGGTTTCTCGTCAATTGGAGCTGGTTTGACGAATTTAATAAAATCCAAGCCTTCGGGAAGTAAAGGCTTCAGAACAGGGGGGAGAGCGATTCCTTCTTCTGTTTGATAATTCTCTAATAGCGCACAAATGGTTCTCGACACAGCGCACATCGTAGCGTTGAGCATATGAACGTATTCCGTCTAGAGAAAAAAAATTGTCTACATATAAGGCTTGTAAACCATTTTGTAAATGCTACAAAAGGATAACTCTGTAGCCCTAAAACCCTCCCGCCGAGTAGCTCCTATGGAGACTGGGTTTGACCCGTAAAACAGAGGGGAAAAAACAACCACGATTACCTTGTTCACTCTGGCCCCGTTCACACGCACATGTTCTTGTTTGAAAACGGAGACTTTTTCCTCCGGTTTGGCCTTTTGTTCACTCGTATCTAGGGAAAATGGTCACTGCAAAGGCATCTTTTTTCAAAAACGTTCTCAGGTGCGGAGATTTTTAAAAACACTATTTTGCTGCACTAAGGTTTCTGAACAGGATTACGAGACAGTGTTAGATACAGTCTATGCCGCGCACTAGAAAAGTCCACCAGGCAGACAGAAGCATTGAGTTTGTTTCACTCCTAGTATAGCTTCTTACAAGCATTATGCATTGCACGTTTTAAGTTGCGTTTTGCTATGTTAAATGTGTAAGTCGATTATGCAAGAAGACGCAGTGACATAATCAGTCCATTTCCCGTGTTCATAACAGGAGGCACGAAACAATGAACTCGATTTCAACAAGCAAGGCTTCGACGATTTAGGGTTTGACCAGGAAGTACGAGTGCGCGGAGCGAGAACTTTGTCTACCAAATAGTCATCCAAGTAGAGTGGAGAGAGAATTCTAGTCACTGTTGCGTTTTCCTGTGGATTATTAAAAATCATTCAAAAACGCAACGTATGAGCGAGGGTATTTTTTTTTTACGGAGGAAAAAAACGCTCTCAAACAAAATCGGATACACGTTGACGGAACCTTGAATGTTCATATTTGTAGAAAGGTCCACCCGGGTAAATCCCCAAACAAATAGTAAGGTGGTTCCAATTTGTCTGAAAATTACAGTGAGGTCAAGTCAAAGGGGTTTTGGGGGCAAAATTTGTTACTTTATTTTGATGTCAACTACCACCATAATAGTAACGCGTATCCTGCAAGATTTTCAGCAACAGGACTGTGAGGACAAAGAAAGAATGTGCATGATTTGGACTCTGGTCAGTTCCTGTAATGGGTAAATACATCTCGGTTCAAATCCGCCAGCAAAACTGGACTCGCACGGATTCCTTTTTGCAAGCAGATTTCTTTCGTCTAATTGGATCTCTCAAAATAATTTAAGTATGAAAGTTATCTGGGGTCCCTAACTGTTCCTTCAACGGCGCATTTGAGCACTTGGAAGTGTTCAGGAATACTCAAAGTCACACACAACAATTCTGACCGTATGCTGATTGTTTACCTGCGCTCCCATTTTCTTGGTTTGTCCAAAACGAACTTGCAATCTTCTTGCTTGGTAATCCGTGCAGTTTGAGCAAGAAACTAATTCACGGAAAGCACCGCTACCTGGAAACCAAGCTTCCAGATCGTACTTCATGGCGGCTGCATTGTTGAGTTCACCTACAGTTGTGAAAATTAACCGTTCAGATTGGGAACAACTTGATTAAACACAGAAACTACAAGTGTTACCTACCAGAAACAATATTTACAATTCTGTAAGGAATTCCTAAAGCTTGATTAAATTCCTCAGCACTTGCAATCATCTCATCAAAAAGTTGCCAAGAAATACCATCATGAGGAGAACAGATAACAAATTGCTCCACCTAACAAAAAAATACATTACATCAAAAAACAAACTGAAATAACTCATTGCTATGAGAGAGGAGGACCTGTTGCCTTGACAATGTTCTGTTCTTTGAAGTAAATACAGCGTTTAATTCAATCACAAAGTTTTTAGTAATACATATCCTCTTGCAAAAATTATTCTGCCTCACACTTTTACATTGTGGTTTTTAAAGGCCTAAAGCTGAAAGCCAAACTTGCATTTCACAAGATTTTAAGTAAAAGAACACTCTTAATCCTCAATTGTAAATCATCATGATTTATTATCTGGATCAAATGTACCTTTTCAAACTGATGTACCCTAAAGATGCCACGAGTGTCCCTTCCATGAGCCCCTGCTTCTTGTCTGAAGCATGACGAGAATCCAGCATATTTCTTGGGAAGTTCATTTGCAGCCATCCATTCACCTCGATGAAATGCAGCAATTGGCTGTTCACTCGTAGCAATAAGGTATCTTTCTTCATAACCTGTTTCATCTGCACCCTTACCGATAACCTACAAACAAAATCTCAGTCCCTAAACTAGCCTTGTATTATTAGGGCAAAATAGCCTAGGCTAGCCTAGTTTAATTAGGGCAAGTTAATGCTAAAAAGTAATCAATCGTTTATTTAACCAGCCATGTTTGATTTGGAGAAAGAGGCAGCTGTCGGGGG